GCAACACCGCAATATATCGTACTAAGATTAAACGCATTCTGTCAATAGGATTATTTTGGTCTATGCCTATGTTATGTCGAAATAAACGCTTTCGCGAATTTGGCAATATCACCATCATTATAAGGAAGGCATATGGAACGATAGTGTAAGCCTATTATTATTATAGCTATACTATTACTATGATTAATAGAGAAATACTTGTAAAATTACGATGACTTTAATTAATAAGCGTAGTATTGACTTGAGAATGTAATTGTACGAAATATTACAAGGTATTAAAACACGTAATTTCCATGATTGCACATATTCATGTATTTGTATTCGTAAACAGTACAGATTATTATTACTTATTGTATTTTATTATTATTGTTACAAATAAAGGATTAATATCGATCACTGCGTGTTAAAAGTAGGGTTGCCAGATGGTCGGGATTCGTCTGGATTGTCCAGACATTTCGTATGATGTCCAGAGTCCCGAAAAAAACAAATATGTCCCGACAAAATTGTTAGATTCTGTAAAATCGAATTCCAAGTATAAAAAAATATCATAAAAAAATAATAAGTAGGTATATAAGCTGTTTAAATGTTATACTATTGTTATGTGATCTTATAAAATGACAAAAAAGTAGATACTTGTTATTATTTTAAAATTTTATTAATAAAAAGTGGATTTCTTATTAGCATTTTTTGTCCCGACTGTGATCCCAAAATCCCGACTTTTTCAAATTTTGTCCAGATATTTTAGTCTCGCTATCTGGCAACCCTAGTTAAAAGTATGATATTGATTTAAGTATACAATGTTACAAAAGGGTACTAATTATAAAAAGTAACTTCTAATGTCGTTCGACTATATGTTTATGTATTTCAAAAATCATAATCCCCCACCTGAATCCAATAACATTGGTGGGCGTGTCAACTACTGCAGAACCAGCCGAGATTAACTGCTAAAGTGCCTCCCGTAGCAAAAAGCAACTCAAAATGATGTTGGTCATACATTCCACGATCATCTCTGTGAAAATTGCCTAACATCCGCATCGCAGACCAACTGTTTTATTTTGACTATTGAGCTAGATAGAGCTTATCAGTAGTATAGCAAAAGTCACTTTTATAAAATAGGGATGACGACAGGGTAAAAACAAAGAAATTCTATTTAGTCCGTCAGTCGGATAATGGAATAATATTAGATAACTATTTTTTTTTTACTTAAATTTTACAAGAAATAGCTAAGATAACACGCGTTAACGTTGACGAACGGGGGCTCGCTACGTCACAGTTTTGTATAAAAATGTACAAAAGCGTCATGTATGTGTAAGCGTAAATGATTGATTACGCAAAAAAAATAAAAGTACGTGTTTAACATTTTTCAACAATCTACCTGACGGAAAAACAAAAAAAATGTAGTCGTCATCCTTATTGGTAGTCCTAATAACTTCAAATAGCCCAATAGTATTTTATCAATCTATTAGAGACGTCTTTTAGCTGAGGATGAATAATGCGCAACAAACTCCAAAAGCATCAAACAGTGAAAATATTTAATAAATAAATATTGGACATCACGTACTTTGCTCAGATCCCAAGATGAGTAGCTAAAGCTTCCGTATTATGGAGTATCTAAGACAACACGCAGACCCGAGGTAATATCACGTTTTCTACATTGACCAGACCATAAATCGAACCCGGAACCTCAGAGATGGAGACACTTTGAAACATAAGTTAGATTGCATTGCAACATTTAATATCAAATTACATTGTACTTTAATAATAAGAATAAGAAATGTGATAGTTTGGGCTGTGACTTCTGTTAAAGATCAACTAACCGCAGCAGCAGTAAGATGTTGCGACTCATTACTTAATATTATTAATCATATCATTTAGGAGGTGTAAGATATTAATATCATAAATGTATATCATAGGGTGATCATAGGCTAATTGTCAATTTTTTTTTAATAAATAAAAACTCCATTAATATCTGAGAAATAATAAGTCTGCAATTAATAGTTTGGAGATACAGAGCTATTTTTGTGGAACAGCTTGTCGTCCGAAAACAATCCCTACTTAGTCAAGGCACTAAGTGACATCACACAGTTTTATGGTAGTCACAAAGTTATGGGTGTCTGGGCAATCTTTGTTATTTGTGTGTTTATGTATAAACAAACAACTTTCATTATTGCAGCTATAAAGCTGCCATAATAAAAGTTACATTTTATATAATCTAATGCCATATGTATTTTAGATAATGTTGCCTACTTCTTTCAAGTTTTCAAAGTGTAATATTTTAAAAATTAGTATCAATAAATTTATTTTGTTAAACATTTATGAGTTAAAATGGTTCATATTTTCCAAACATATAACAGAAACATGTATTTGTAGGACACAAATCTATTCAATCTAAAGAGTATTTTTGACACTAATAGAAATTACATAAAAATTATTTGTTAATAGAATGCTAATTGGTATTGGATAACATGACTCACAGTCTAGTCAAACAATAGCACAGCTTTTCATCAAAAACACTGGATTAACAGCTGTACTAATAAATAAACACACATTGCAAATGGTGGTAATGAAAATATAATTATGAAAATACTCAAGTTTTTATAATGGGTAGTGCCTTTTTTTAACTGACTTCAAAAAGGAGTTTCTCAGTTTGACCTGTATGTATGTATGTCTTTTTGTGCGTAATTATCTTGCATTTGACTGAACCGATTTTGATGCAGTCTTCAGCATAGTATTTCAGCATAGTTATATAAAAATATCAATATCACTAAAAAGTATGAAATAAAAATTTAAAACAAAAATAGACCCCAATTCAAATAAAGAATAAAAAAAAAATACTTATCTCAAAAGTGACTTATTAAAGATAAATTCTATTGAAATTGGGCATCTATCATTTATTTAATAACGTACAGAAAACAAAAATATTTACTATCATTATTCCATGGTATGTGTTAGTACCCCTAGAAGAACTGTTAGCAAGAGGCAGACTGTCAAATATTATGATTTGGCCAAATATTATGAGGTATAGATCAAAAATATCTATACCTCATAAGAATTAACATAACACCTGAGGGCTAATTCTATCTGGAAAATTTTACAATTTTACTAAAATAATATCCCTGATGATAATGTGTGCATTAAGAGGCAGGGGTGAGTCCTACCTCCATCATAAATTATCATAAAATGCATTTCTTTGAAGTTATATTAGTATTTTGGAAATAGAAAAAAAACTCTTTCAAAGAAATAGAATAAACCAATAAAATATTTAATTTTGTGTGTGACTATGCAGGGCTAGGAGCATTTCACACCAACCACATACTTACACAACTGCATAAAGCACATTTGCAACTTACTGTTGAGGCAAAATAAAATTTGTGCTTTTTTATTTTGAAGAAACAATGTTTCATAATATTTATATTAAAGGTATGGAATCATTGATTTATTACTAATGTTATTTGCCAGTTTTTGGTACCCTTGCTGTATAAAAAAGTAAGATTCAGTTTATTATACACATACAGAATGCACTGCACAAGTATGAATTGTGTGTTGCTTGATAGGTCTACTAGGGCTGTTATATTTTTTAGTATTGTTTGCTTTTTTAGTCCTTGAAGTACAATCAATTGTAATGTGAACAAGTGAGTATCAGACATTCTGTTATTCTAATGCAATTAACACATATAATGAACAAGTAAAAGCTTACTCATAAAACCTAAATTTTATCCATTTCATAAATGGTATCATAAAAAGAAGTAAAAGATTAACATTGCAGATTTTGAGTTGATAATGGTGTTTTCTACTTCATAATTTGATGTGAGTTTATACATAAGAATTCTTTCCATCAACAAATACCTATACTTGGTTGTGTTTAATAGGGAATATGTGTCTGATTCAAAAGAAGGTTAAACATATTTTATTACAATTGTTATTGCTTGAGAATAAAGTCTATCTAAATATTTTTCAATATTAAATCGTTTTCATTTTGAAAATAATTATTAAAAAGTGCAAAATAAATTTGGTAACTTCAAAATATTTAAACGCCATGCTACTTGTCAGAGCAGATGTGATGAAAATGTACATGTGTAGGGATGTTGTTGTTACAAAAAGTTAACATCAATGCAATAACATCAATGTATTATGTTGCAAAATAAACAACTGATTACTATTTAAATGATGTTTTAGGCTTTTATTTTTATTTCACCAATTTAGTAAATTATTTGATTTATTAAAAAGTCTATTATACTTTAAAAAATAGATTAGTTGTTAATTGATTTAGGTAATTGAATAAAAATGAAACACTCAAAATCCATATTGATTTAAAATGTCATATCTCTAGTCGTGTAGTTTGACGTCATGACGAGCATGCCAAAACTTCCGGTGTTTAAACTGCTTGTAGCTATTACTTATTTTCATTAATTATTAATATTACAGAATTTTATTTTTTCGGTGCCATGTATTTTTTTACTGTTATATATTGATGTAAATTATTATATTAAACCATTTTCCAAAAGTGTGTATATTCCCTATTCCTATAATGTCATCATGTTTTTTATGGGTCTGTCCTCGTTGCTTAATTTGACTTCTTTGACTAACTCATATTCTTAAAACAAGAAAAATTTTCAGCAGTATAGTAAATATATTGACTAACTATTGGTATTTTGGTGATTAACTCATATATATAAATGCCACAATGCAATGAAATCAAGTAGGGAGAATGTAATATTTCAAATAAATGCTCATAAACATACATACTAAAAAAACAGTTTTTTTATTTAAACAATTTTGTGAAAATTTGTTAAATTATGAAGCAAAATGAAATTGTTACTTCAACTATGAATGTTTTAAACATCTTAAAAATATTTTTGCACTTCACACTAGTGACAATGAAACACTGCTTAAATTAAGCAATCTTCATAAACATTTTTTGTGCAATTCAATCTTGTGTAGTCTGATAGGTAATTGTTTAGTCTGTAATGCGATTAATAACAAATAATAGTGCCACTTACGGTTCAGGACTGTACTGAGCACCGCCGAAGAAACCATGCCTGTCTGGTTGCGTAGTAACTGATGAACATATTGAGGTTGTATCTGCTTGGTCCGACCTGTCTCCTCCAGAACTTTTAACACTCTTCTGCAGAGACATGATAATATATTTTACCACTATCTTTCGGACAGTAACATCACGCACACCCTTGTCCAAACTGTCACACCAGACGCCCACACGTATCTACAAATTAATTATTTCTAAACAATATTATAACTGTTCCGTTTAGTTGTTCACGCCCGACGACAAATTAAACAGATCAATGCTTCTTTAGATAGCAAAATCTGGGTTGAATACATAATGTGACAACCAACATATGACTACTAAACAATAAAAAATGATATCAAGACGCGCACAGAATTGATAAACTTATTATTTTTCTTATCAAAACTCAATTAAATCGTGTGGGTGGATTCATTCGACATCGTACGTCATTTGTAGTGATGTGAAAAGATAGAACTAATTACTGTCAATGGCTTGTATGTGAAAAATTTTTGAAGTATATCGATTAGGAAAAAAATTATGCATCTAATCTCTGCTTCATAAGCATGAATCATGGACTTAGTAATTTATACTCAGTAATAGTACAGGATGGAGTTATCCCAGCTGAAAAGCGAGCCGAGCGAGTTATCCATCTTAGAGGCTATTTGTCCTTTTCGATAGGGCGACAATAACATTTTAATAAGGAAGTATTAAAAAAAAGCATCAGTTCCTGAAATCAAACTAGATTTCGCTACGGTACTTTTTTGATTTCTCCATAACAACCCTTACCCTTAAGTTTTCATGAATTAAAGTAAATTAATTTTCAAAACTCAATAAAAAACTCATATTCTATTTGTACTTTTTCGTAATTGTATTGATATCAAAGTTTCGAACTTAGCGAATTTCAGTTTTTTAATATGTTAGTTAAAAGGAACGGATATGTCTATCGATCTTTGGTCAACTTTTGGTAGAGTCGCCATTTCAGTCAGTGAGGTGCTTTTTAGTGTTTTTTTTTTCTTCAAATACTTCTTAAGTGAGACTTTTCATATTGTTCACTTTTTTAACTACTGCGACACTATTATCATACGCAATAAAATTTCTAAAATTTTTGTTAGAGTAAATATATTTTTATTATTTAATTTACACATTTATAGGCTTTTCGTGCAATTCGATATCGATGAGCGATATCTTTTTTTTTATGGGATAGGGGGCAGACAAGCAGATGGATCACCTGATGGTAAGTGATTACCTTCGCCCATGGACACCTGCAACATCAGATAGGCTACAAGCGCGCTGCCGGCCTTTGAGGGACGAATATGCTCATCGGGAGGGAAGGGTTGAGGGGTAGAGGGAAGGGAATAGGGAGGGGTTGGGCCTCCAGTACCCTCATTCAAACGACGAAACAACGTAAGCGTTGCTTCACGTCAATTTTCTGTGAGGCCGTAGTATCACTCCGGTCGAGCTGGCCCATTCATGCCGAAGCGTGGCTCTCCCACGGTGTGAATATCGCACGAATCGCGCCTTTATAATATTTACGGAGAATCGCAAGAGTTTGTTTACTCATAAAATTGTACAATCTGTCCATAACGGTAACAAATCGTACTCATGGTCTGCAATATCGCTTCAATTGTATAAGGACTTGATTGGCTCGGTCTACTTTCGCACTCAGAAAATGAGAATTATAAAATTGATATTATTTTTGCACAGTAACTTTATTCCATTCAAATTTTTTTAAACTATATCAATTCGTTAAAATTAATCGAAAATTTTAAGAAAGATATATACTTTATTTTCAGATTGATAGATGTCAAATGTGACTTTTTGTGTAGCTCGGTGGCGTAGTGGATAAGCGCCGCGGCCCGCGATCGTTGTCGTTAAGCAACTTTCGCAAGGGTCGGTCACGGGATGGGTGACCCAAAAATTATTATCTCGAGCTACTCCGTGCTTCGGAAGGCACGTTAAGCCGTTGGTCCCGGTTGCATTTGCAGTCGTTAATACCCTCCAATCCGCATTGGGCCAGCGTGGAGGGTCATGGCCCATCCTCCTTAAACATCCATAAGGAAGGCCTGAGCCCCAGCAGTGGGGACGTAAAAAGGCTGATTATGATGATGATGAAATGTGACTTTTTATAATGATAATGACCCAAATCAAAAATAACCTACTCAAGAATTGGCAGTATGGCTTAGTTCCCTCGGCTGTCCCAATGACGAAACAAACTACTACTACTCAAAGATCATGAACTTAGTATTTATTACAGGACAGAGTACTCCCAGCTGAAAAACGAGTCGAGTGAAAAATCAACTATAGATGTTATTTATCCCTTTCTAATAAGGTTACGATAATAATTTAATTAAGTGTGACTTTTCATATTATGGTTCAGTTTTTCAACTGCTGCTTCTGTTTACTTTTTTAACTATAGACTACCGCTTCAATTATATGAGGGCTCGACCGGCTCGATCTACTTTGCACAAATGCTTTTGCGCAAATATTACGAAATCATAAAAATATATCCAATTTCACAAAAAAATACGGCAATATCCTTATTTTGTCAACTCCCTCTTTAAGTATATATTATTTTTTAGCGCCCCCATTTTTTCACCTACTTAAATACCACTATTACTTAAAATTGCTTCAATTCATTATTGTAAGCTTTAGGTATTAATGGAGATTGAACATTACTTTTAAACGAGACTTACTATACTGTACATTTAATTTCCAAGAAATATATCACACAGTTAAACAGGTTAAAAAAATCGAGTCAAACAATTGTCTCTTGATAGCCAATGAACTTCAAGAAACGGTTAGAATGGCACAAAGCTGATAAAATAATATATCATTCAAAGAGCTGATGCGGATTTTATCGACTGCTTTGATGCCATATTGCAGTGATTGAAATAGTAGACGTTCACTTAAGTTTCCAGCGACCAAATGTTGTCTATGAATAACTCAATGTACAGCAAGAACAACTGGAATTTGAAGTAGGCTACGAACCCTATCATAGCCGGTTCGCCATTCGTAGCAATTGATATAATATTTTTCAAAGGAATCTCTTTGCATGATTGCCCGTGGTCTACTATCTATGAAAATTACTCATCTAGGAAGACTAGTAAAATGCGAAAGTAGGTCTGCTGCCTTTTTATTTATTCGTGTCTACTTTAATTTCGAAACGGAGCGACCGATTGACATTATTTTTATTTTATATATTCAATAAGACACGATAGATATATGACCAACACGGAGAGAATTATCGAACCAAGTTTGAGCAATCTTTTAACTAATATTATGTGATGTTCACAAGTTGTAGTTGAAAAGCGAGAACTCATGCAGTCGGTGTCCAAGAGGCCTCGAGGCCTCGTGTCCAAGAGGCCTCGAGGCCTCTTGGACACCGACTGCATGAGCTAAAAACTAAAAAGTAAACTAAAGTTACTTACGATAGGTAAATAAAGCTAAGAAAACAACATCTTCAACACAACAAAAACAACATTATTCAAATAAATCAGTATTGTTCTGATATTTATATCAGGAGCACTCTCACTGATACCAACCAAACCAACAAGCAGTGTCTTGTCATAAAGAAACAAAAAAAAACAAGAAGTTCATAGACTGTAATTTCTTTAAATTTAAAAAATACATGAAGAGACGTATGAGCAGGCAGCAGAACTTAAAAAAATATTTCGATTATGATACGTATTTGATTACTGAAAATAAAAATCGAAAGCCGATATATCGCGGAAAAAAATATCGCTGATTTATATTTCAAAAATACATTCAAATTTTTTGATATATCAATAGTTTTTGCACAATTCTATTCCTATTGCTAACTTATAAGAAATAATCGAACATTTATCGTCGATTAGGAAATTGTAATCGATAGCTGAACTTTAACTCAATATTTGAAAAATCAATTTATTAATTAATGGTAATCGATTCCACACACCATTAATAATATTAATTAATGATGTGCCGATTTGATTATTATGCACATCGATTAATCGATCAAAGTATTACTCGTAATCGATTAATAATCGATTAATGACAACGATTATTAAATATTTTTACCCCAAAAGTTTATGAATGATTTCAGATTAATTCCACCGTATTTCAAAGCCAGCCGAGTTAATGAAAAAATAGTTAAAAATCAATTTTAAGACAATGTTTACTATACCAGGATTGTACATGCAAAATTTATGGAATTTAACTAGCTGTACCCGTGATTTCGTCCGCGTGGAAAGTAGCCTTAGTAATGAGGAAGAATTTAAAAAAAAACATTAGTTCCCGAAATCAAACTAGATGTCGCTACGGTACGTTATTGATTTCTCCATGACAACCCTTTCAGTTTTCTTTCATGTTTAAAAGTAAATTAGCTTTCAAAACTAAATAAAGAACTCATATTCTATTTGTACTTTTTCGTATTTGTATTGATATCTAAGTTGCGAATTTTTCAAATGTCAGTATTTTTAATATGTTAGTTAAAAGGAACGGAAATAACTGTCTTTGGTCCATTCGTTTCCTGCAAAAATCAACTTTTGCTAGAGTCGCCATCTTGTGGAGGTGCTTTTGAGGTGCTTCGTTTTTTTTATACTTTTTCATTCATTATTACATAAACCATCTGCCATGAAAGTCCCGTTTTCGTTCCCATTTCGGAGTTTAGCCGTAACAAACAGACACAAAAATTGTAAAAAATATTGTTTTGGTATAGGTATGTACCACACGGTATGTACCGTGTATACTTTCATGTGCATTTAGTAAGAAACGGTTAATTTGTATTTGTTGAAACAAAACTGTAAGATCCGGTTATTCATTCATCGGGAGTTCCCCGACCAAAGAGTAAAGTAACGCTGTGGATTGCTGAGCCATCGAAGTAATGTAAGTAGGTACTATACTAACGTTTTAAACTATTCCTATTGCTAATGTTTTAAGAAATAATCAATGGTTAATCATTGATTAGGAAATCATAATCGATAACAACTGATTATTTCAAAAATCGATTAATGATAATCGATTCCGCACATCATTAATATTAATATAATTTAAAAAAATCACAATATATTTTCGTTACCGATTCCCATTCCCTTTCTTATATTGTGTAAATACTTCGAAAGTAGTTTAATTCTTCACAAAAAATGAATTCGATAAGAAAATTAAGTCTAATACAACAATCAAGCAGATTAAGCTCCACAATAACTGCCGAGTTTGTCAATAGAAATCCTAGAAATCTTGAAAGAATACGCATAGCTCGCAAACCCGATGGATATCATTTAGATAAACCTGGAAGAAAATATTGGCATAAGTAAGTTGCTAAGAGCTTTTTTACTGTAACTTGTGAACTGCTGAAATCTTCAATAATGGTTTTTAGGTTATGATCAGACAAAACTTTCTGGCACATTTGTTTCTTGTTATTAACATAAAATGTATAAAAACCATAAAAATAAAATTCTATTTTGCAGACTAGTTTTAACACCGAGTAATCGTACAGTAACAGCTCAAGTTGTTCATTTTGTAAATGGTCCAGTTATACAAGCAAAGACTTCAGAATGGGCTCTGCGTAAACAGCTCTACAGTATCAATGATACAAGTGCTTACATAAACTTAGCTAAAGTATTCACTCAAAGATGTCTTGAGTCTGGAATTACTGAGATGCACTGTGACATTATCCCAACCAAAGGTGGAAAAGTTGAAAAGTTTCTAAATGAACTTGTGGACGGTGGCATCAAATTAACAGAACCAGATGTTTATAAACAACCAAATCCATGGGATCAACATAGACCAGAAAAACCATGGGAAGTGACAGAAGAATAATGTTAATGGCTTTCATACAAAAAGAAATGTAATATTTACATTTGTATATCCAAATATGTAGGTATTTAGAGCTGAATCTTTTGTAATTTTAGAACTATAGATATAGTAATTGCTAAAAACACTAAATTGATGTCTGACTGATACTGAACTGATGTCTATTCCTGAAAGTATCCACTTGTTTAAGAAAGCTATTTAAGTACATATTTTGTGTCAGGTTGGAAATGTCACAATGAAAGAAATTCCTTATGAAATAGGGACTAATAGCCAAATGACATAGATTCAGGGATAAGTGATAGTTTTTGTGCTACTGGGCTGACTTCTATATAGCAGTGTCACAGCTATAATTCTAAACATCTTTCTGTATTCTGTAGTATTTATAATGAATTCTGAAAACATTTCCAGGTCGTCATTTAATCTCTATTCTTGCAATAAATGCCTGAAGAAAATACTTTTAGAAATAGTGCAACAATGCTGGGCTGGTCAGCAGAGTTGCCACCTTTTGGAAAACATAATTCTGGACATTCAGATGGTCACCAGAAGTAATCAGAATTTTGTTCAATCTAAGCCATCAAAAAGAATGCAGAAAATATATATTTTTTTTTATATAATTGTCCACCTGATGCAGTAATCACTTTAGTAATTACCTATTATTATATTACATTATTATTATTATAAATCTGCACACTTTGACATATTACCCTAAGAATTTTTTTTATTGTCTAGTTTTATTAGAAATCTAGAATATTTTTCATCACAATCGGACATTTAGCAATAGTTTAATGTTGTTTTAATTTACTATTCTTTATATGGTATCAAGACCAGTGTGTTGGTCGTTTCTATAGTGTTTACAAATTTTGTGAAAGATATTTATGTGCAGAAGTCCAGAGGGCTTTGTTTCAGTCTGGAAAACACAATTCTTGGCCTTGAGAGCTCTGTTGCAAATTCATTTTTATGATTTTGTAAGCTTTTTCTATGTTTGGGCATTCTATCTCTAATTCCTGCTTTTCAGTTGAAATGTTGAAGTCTTTGTGTAGTCATTCAATAGTTATATACCAAGGTATCTACTACAGTACGCAGAACTTTTAATTGAAAACTGTAATATTTCCAGATTTTAGTTTGCAAGATGTACCCCATAGTTGAATTCTGTATGCCCAAGTTGGCGTAATGATGCATTTATAAGTAATTTATTATTTAAATAAGTAATTTATTATTTAAATAAGTAATTTATTTTCCAGTGAAAACTTTGCTGTTCTGCATATCATGCAATAATATTTTCGAAACTGTAAGCCGAGCACTTTGTAAAAATGTGTTTCCTCCAGGTGAGTCTTCGATCCAGAAGCAATCCAAGGTACTTAGCCTCCTGAGCCAGGGGTATGATGATATTGTTTAGAGCAATGGGTGGACAAGTACTTTTCCAAAGTGTATAACATGAACCGACTTTGTTTCTTTCACCTTAATGTGTCATTTTTTTAGCCAAGATGAGACTTTATTAAGACTTGCTTGGAGTAATCAAGAGGCTGCATTAGTATCGTTGCTCACAGCAAGAAGTGCGGTATCGTCGGCGTACATTCTTACTTTTACCCCGGTAATAGTTAGTGGATTTGATTTGAATAGAAGATAAAAGTGTTGGGTCTAAGACACTACCCTGAGAAACTCTGGCAGGCATCTTTTGGAGGTTAGAAAAATCTTTGCCACAATAACGAAGAACGTGTAAAAGTAACGTGTTTTTTGTTCGTTTTTTGTTTGTTCGATTGTACCGTGTCCATGTCTGAAGCCGAACTGGTGGTTTGGGATCAGCACAGCAAACCTTGCTTTATAATTGGGTTTAATCTGCCCAAAAACAGGACCTCCAACAAATATGATAAAAAATTGGGATGCGGGACAACGTCATTGAATAAGGGACTTTCCCGGAAAATTCGGGACCGGTGGCAATCCTGCTGCCGTCTGGCAGCACCATGCTAAATCTTCTAAACTATAGCGCTTTAGAAGCTCATTAATTTGTCATCGATCTCATTGTCATCTCCAAAATAAATAATTCTTAGAAGAAAGGGAAGTCATAATCGGAAAAATAGCCACATTCTTAAATATTCCCGTAAATCCCATTTGAACTATAAGCTCCTCCCATTCTTGAGTATGTATTTGTTGGTTTGGAAATCTGTAGCCCTAAATTAGTGTCTAGTATTGATCTCAACATCTTACTTGTTATGGGTTCACATAGAATAGGCAAAGGATGCCCGTCAGTTTGACTTTGGTTTAAAAGCTCGTGACAAGGTATATACCCTACCGGAACATTTTTACATTCAGACATTCCTGTAAATATCTCCTTGATCCATGGATTGTATTTTAACCTTTTGTTTTCGCTATATTCAGGCTGTATCATATCTACCTTCTCAGACCAAATATAAAGTAAAGACGGAGTTCGCTGAATAAGGCGCCTATTACACTACCCAATCTATCGGGCACGATATATCGGCCTCGATTTAGGGCGGTTGGTGTCGTTGTGATTACACTGCACTAGATCGCCTCCCTAACTCAGTTGGCATGCAAACGTGGCGTTGAAAGGATGGCTCCTTCGCTCACAAAGTACCAAAAAATTGGCATAGCCCATACTTTAACTGCGGGCGTAAATAATAAAACAAAATGTTGGGTGAAAAATATTTGCTTCTAAGAGACCAATTATGCAGTTTGAACTACTACAGAATGAGTTCTGCACAATTTGATCATATATTAAACTTAGTCATACCTTATATAGCGCAAAACAGCGGTTAGCTGTGCTGTAACCTTAAAATTTTTAGCAACGGGAAATGCATATCATGACTTAAAGTATAAATACTCAATAAGTTTATTGTTTCCATAGGTAATTTTAAATAATATTACATAATTAAGTTAGTCTCACTATGGACCCTATCGGGCACAACAATAATATAAAGTTTATTATAGCATTAGTTTTTATTATTGTAATTTATATAAAATTTATAATTGTACCAGACACATGCAAAGGCTATCTAGAAATGTTTAAAACATATCATATTGATATACAATATATATATATAACGGCGGATAGTCTCAGGGGGCTATTACGAAGCCCAAATAAATCGTCCATATCGGAGGACTATCTTTTAAAATAACACTGCAGGCGTGGTATATCAACGTGGATTTGTTCCATTTATCACTTTTCATACGAAACTATAACGAGATGAGCGTGATGTCATCGGATGTCTTTACTCCTCGGCGATCGGAAACAGAATGTGTCAGGGTTACCAACTCCCAACAAAATAAAACCCTAAAATCAAACTCAAATGACCCTAAATAACCCTAAATGGCGTAATGAAAAGCCCCAAAAAAAGCCCTGTCCTGCCTGTATTACCCATAGATTATGGAATGAATGGAATTGTTTAAAATAGTTTTCTGTTTCATTTATGTGAATAAAATAGACCTGTTTTAATTTAATTAATTTTATTAGTTTTAATAAAACAGAACTTAGTTTTAATAACTTTTTACCGACAATGTAGATCTTTTATGTGAATAATTAAAAATCTACATTATCGATAACAGTTAATAAATCGTGTAAATCCTGACTAGGCGTTTGTTTACAGCTTTCGTAATTTTTTAAATTATACATGTTGACGTTGTACAATTGTAACATTTTCGGAGATGGGGTAAACGTTACGCATGATCCACCATCTCGTTTTAAAACAAATCGTGTCATCATTAAACTTTGCAGCATTTCAAGAGACAATCGGCTTCGTAATTTGTTTTTCACAATATTGTATACAGAGAAAGCACGTTCGACACTAGCATTTGAAAATGGTATAGTCATTAATGCAAGTGCAAATTTTGAAATGTTTCCAAAACGCTTATGCCCACCAGCGTCACAATCGTTAAATACTTCAGAGTAAAATGCAGTTGAGTTGGTGGTGTCTGACCATTGTTTATTATTTAACTGACTTCATTCTGATTGTACATCATTCATATTACCGTAAATATGAGGCCGCTGAGAAAGTGTTAAGATTTTCGAGATGTCGGGCTTAACTTGGGAGGTAGCGACTTTCGGATGTAAATCAGCAATCATTTTTAACGTCGCAAAATTCTCTGGAAGCCGTTTTTGAATTTCCTCTGCAAGGCAAATCAAAAACTTTTTACATCTTTCTTTCACATCTATTAAATCGTTTTCTTCAAGTTCATGAGTAATTTTTTGAAAACTATAACCGAAATATATTGATGTTGTGTGCATTATATATTTTTGAAAGTTAAAATCAACAAGTTCAGACTCTGTTAGCTTTTCTAATTGAGAGGGTACAACAATTTTTTGAAGTAAGTTTTTGTATAGTAAAAATAAATCTTCAAATAATTTAATAGGTTCTACTTCGTCACTTTGGAAAATAACATTTAGTTGAATAATTTTTTTCAATTCATCTCTTAAAAATAACAATAACGCTTTAAATGGTAAACGTTTCATAATATCATGAAGTTGCTCAGCCATATAACATTTGTCCTGCGACTTAGCAAGTGAAAACAATAATTTTAGCTCATCCCATTGTTCGATAATTGTGCTGATAGCTTCGTATCGTGCCAACCATCGCGTCCCACTTAAACCTTGTATTTTTTTTGGTGATTGATTATTATTCATTACTTCATAAAGATTTCGATATTTTTCTAAGCGTTTAGGGCTGTAGCTAAACCAATTGTGCGCTTCTCGTACCAAAAATTCCAATTGCCTAGGTAATAGTTGGGCTGCATTTTCAGCACACAAATGAAGTGAATGGCTTACACACTTCACAATAACCAAATCAGGTAATTCTCTTTTGAATAAAGCCGTTACAGAATTGTGTTTCCCAACCATAACGTTGGCTCCGTCTACACCTATGCCAACCATATTTTCTATTTTTAAACCATCTTTAATAAGTTGATTTTTGATGACCTCGTATACAGTTTTCGCGTCGCATTCAATTAATTTAATTAATCAAAAAAATGTTGTGACTATTTGCCTTTTCTTGAATGAATAAAAACGCACCATAATGCATAAAACTTTTTGT